CAAACTTTTTAGGGGCTGAGTGCCCAAACTAAAAGGCCTTTTGGCACCGGGTGTAACCCAGTGCCAGGAATTCCACCCTCTGGGGGAGCAGGACTTCCGGAATGGGACTTCTTTCCTCTGCCCTCCCGGGACTTCAGCTGCCTCTCCAGAGACAGCTGAAGGCCTGGGGGGGGGCAAGGGAGGAAGAAGAGCCCTGCGCCGTCCAGCTGCCTGCAGCCTTCAGAGAGGCAGGTGAAGGCCTAGGATGGCCAGGAAGGAAGAGGAACAGGCACATGCCTCTTCCCCCTTCTTCCCACCCTCTGAGTGCCAGGGAAAATGGCATTGCATGCCATCTTTGGCATGCGCGCCATAAGTTCACCATCACAGCTCTAGGACAACTGTCTGCACAGAGGTCCCGCTGACCCACTTGGTACATCTGCCGCTACCATGGGTTGCTCACTTCTGAGATCACAACAAGGCACCCAGTGATGATTACATGGATGGACACCTCGTTCTGACCTCAGAGCAAGCAACTAGTGACGGCAGCAGACATGCAGGGCAGCTCAGTGGGATGCCTGTGCAGACAGCCGCCTTGGTGCAGAATTGAAGGATTCCAGATCTTCCCAGAAGAATCGGAGTAAGAAGTACGTTATTTTAATCAGTGTTACTTTTTTATACAGTTGGCCCTCCTTATCCATGGATTTTTTTTTTATCCATGGATTCAAGCACCCACAGCTTGAAAATATTTTTTTAAAAGTATAAATTCCAAATAGCAAACCTTAATTTTCCATTTTATATAATGGACACTATTTTGCTGTGCCATTGTATTTAATAGGACTTGAGCATCCATGGATTTTGGTATCGACGGGGGGGAGGGATCCTGGAACCAAACCCCAGCAGATAACAAAGACCCACTGTATTCTGGTTCTAATGCTGAACGTGCCAGATATCTTCCGGACTGTTTGCACCAGAACCAGTCTTTGGGTCATGTGTCATCTGAACAGGTTGCCATCTGAATGGGAGGAGAACAGGCCTTTTGGCCCATGCAAACAAAGCCAAAGACAGTCAAGGGGTGCTTTGATTGTGTGTTCCTGCATGGCAGGGGATTGAACATTATGACCCTTGAGATCTCTTCCAACTCTATGATTTATAATTCTATGGTTCTATGAATTTCAGATCTTCACTTCCCATCACAGTTTTAATGGCTCTCTTTCAGGGTATTTTTATACAGGGTCATTTGTACTGGGACAGAAGACTCTGCACACATTTCAGCCCTAAAAAACAAGGATGATAATAGGAGAAGGCTATAAAGGAGAAGGAATAACAGTTCTTACCTGCTATTTTTTGCATCTCCTTCCTAGGGACCAGCGGTCTATAGGCAGCAGTCTGGAACCAGTTGAGATCTGGGAACTGGGAGTCAGGACCAAAGAGCAAGAAAGAGCTTGTAAAACTACAAATCTCAGGACTCCATAGGATGGAGCTACAGCACTTAAAGTGGTGTCAAACTGCATTATTTCTACCATGTAGGTCAGGGGTAGGCAACCTTTCCCCTTTAAGGGCTGAGGAACTTCAACTCTTAGAATCCCAGGAGCTATTGGCTAACATGGGACTGTTGGCTGAGGCTTCTGGGAGCTGAAGTCCCTCGGCCCTTAAAGGGGAAAGGTTGCCTACCCCTGATGTAGGTGTTCCCCAAGATAAATGACACCCACAGCACTCCCACCATCTACTAAACTAGTG